GGAAGGGAAATTGTCTGCGGCGGCGGCTGGGGAGACGTCAAACCATCTAGTATCCCCGCCGACTTCGTCGCGGGGGATACAATTACTACCCCTGCAGGTGTTATCGCTGTGTAACTAGAAGTTGCACAGATTCACAGGCCATGGTTGTATGGGTTCACAGTGTTTCAATAGTGTTATGTTCTTCTATCGTTGAACACTGATTCACGGCTGATGCCAACAGATCGAACTAAGATAAACGAATTTAATCAACAGAAATGTGACTTGCTTTTATTCAGGAAACGCCATATTGCGGGAGCCCAGAACGAGGCTCTATAACCTTTGACCTCATACAAGGATAGAAACTACTACAACATTCGGTTGTCCGATGTAGACACGACATCCCTCCTTCTTTTAAGAAAAACCTCCCTACAGCCTGTCAGTCTAAACAGTCCTTGCCAATGGCATGAGTTTTACCGCTTATTTACATCACCTGTCTAAGGAAATTGCCTCACACTCTGGAAACAGCACAACCAAATTAAATGCTTAAACTCAGTTCAACTGGTAGCACACCACTTGTGAACAACAACTATTATATTTCGCACATTCTTAACTCGTAAGCCTAACAGTGGACAAATTACTACTAGAGCTATAGAATGCAACTCTCTAAATGGAACTTACAAACATGTGACTATGATATACAGACACATTCAGTTCAGTTCTAATGTGATGCCATGGGGACAGTCGGTCAAATTTAGCCCATCACAGTCTTGAAATTTAGCCCATCAGTCTTGAAATTTAGCAGGCAGACATCTCTGTCTCTGCGATCTCGCCCTACCACCTTGCGGCACTCAGCACTGGTGGGGTAGTCGCACTGCTTTCACCTATAACGCGAGACGGGGTTGTGGGTGTGGGCACCTTCCCACCGGTATCAATTCTGCCCTTTCCTGAGGCAGTTATGGTTGGGCCTTCGCTACTCTGACCCCCATCGGACTCTTGACTTACCCCGATCTGATCGGTGACAATATGCCCTACTTCCCCATCCATAAACTTCTTCACATGGGTGGTATTCTGTGAATACCTGATACCCCTAGGGGATTCAACTACTAAACTATTCCCCATTTTCTGAACTAGGGTGTATGGCTCGGGATTAAAATTGGTAGACAATTTGTCTACTTTGGGTTGTTTAACCAGCATTTTGTCACCAACTTTCACTTCAGAATATGACGCGTTGCGCTGTTTGTCTGCGTAGAGTTTTGCTTTTCCTTTATTTTCGGAGTCCTTGTCGTGCACTTCGAGATCCGCAAAACTGTCCACACAGAATACGGGGAGTTTTCCTCGGATTTTACGACCAAACAGCAGTTCTGCCGGGCTCCGGCTCGTCGTAGCATGTTCCAATCCACGATATTTGCCCACGTATTTCCGCAGCTCCTTTCTCCAATCCTTCTCCTCAACTTGTGCGATTCGGATTCGTTTGAGAAGGGAGTCGTTTTGCCTATCCACTTCCCCATTGGCTTGAGCCCACCTAGCGGTAACTTTCAGATGGACTATCCCGTTTTCCTTACAATGATCTGCGAATTCTTGTGACCTAAACTGGGGTCTTTTGTCCCATTTTATAGTATTGGGGAGTCCATGTCGACCATATATTTCCTCCAATCGGTCGATCACCTTCTCAGCAGTGGTGGAAGTCATGATCGCATACTCATAGTAATGAATGCACTAAAGTGTATGTAAAAACTCGGATACTTAGATGTTGAATATGTAGTTCCAGCTAGTCCATCATATGTGCATGCAATTTACATTTAAGCAGGTAAAGATATGGTGGGTTTAATCAGGCTTGCAACCCAAAATGGACAATTTCTTATCACATGAAAGCAATCTTATATTGCATAAGTGGGGAAATATTTGTGTTTAAGACAAGAATGATTAAGTAAATGTAATAGGAATTAAATTTCCTAATATTGTATTACCAGTTGTTATAATTAGCATCAATTAAATGTAAATTCTCGCCATTTAAATGTGAACATAGGGTTAAAGCACTGCTGGAATACTTGAAATAACAATGACCAAATAAACGCGAGAACGTATATTCGAAAAAAAAATTCTGCAAAAATATATACTAGCCCAACCACCGAGCATTATTAGCAACAGAAAAAAAAAGAAATGGAGGACAAAGAAAAGAGAAATTAATTGGAATCCAATGATGGTAGACTGACCACTTGGTTGACCGCCTCCCTCGGAGGAGAGGTTCTTCCAGAAGATGCTGTGATTGATGTGCCCACCGCCGTTGAACTTGATAGCCTGCTGCAGAGCCACGACCTTTGTCACGTTGCCTGGCCGAAACAAATGCGAAATTCCAAATAATTACCTACTGTATAAGCTGTATATTTCGCTGTTTAATTTTCGCAAATTTCGCGAACGCATCCCCGACCGTGAAAATAACAACACGCAAATCATTCATACCGAATAATACATAAGTAACTGACCGCGAAATTAACCACTCGCGAAATTGTCCGTCAAATCTGAATTCACGGAAATATCTGTACGCGAAAAATACGGCTTACAGTAATTGCCCCGGAATACTTTGAATGCATATATCTAAAAAGTGATCCTCACATATAGTGTTTATTTACGAGTTGTTTCTATTTATATCACAGTGATAGAAGAGGGTGATAATGGTTAATGATTTAATATTTTTATTACGATTAAGTGGAATGTATTAAAATGCATATATATAGCTTTTATATATTTATTTTTATTTTTATTAAAGGCATAATAGGCCCATCGATTATGCAATTTTAACGAATGCTAGAATAACTGGCACCTTGTGTAGTTAATAAGTACATTACCTTATAGTGGACCACGCCTACCATTCCAAAAAAGTTATCACATACAAAATTGCAGTCTGTAAATGAATCTGATTTAGAACCAAACTAAGTACAATGTAGCCTAGCTACAACCTGCACCACCTAAAACAACGGGTCAGTGCATTTTCAGACCACCAGCACAGCAGGTTGTAGGATATACCATGGATACAATAATGTAACCCAACAAGAGTAGGGTTACATTACCCCTACTCTTAACCCCAACAAGAGTAGGGTTACATTACCCCTACTCTTAACCCCAACAAGAGTAGGGTTACATTACCCCTACTCTTGAACCCAACAAGAGTAGGGTTACATTATCCCTACTCTTGTTGGGTTACATTATTGTATCTAGATATACCATAGTCCCAGGACTTGAAGCCATTAACAACACCCATCATGTTGCTGTTTTTCGCAGAAGCAATGTCTACATCCTCGGGCGCAGAACTGTCTGAAGCACAGAAGACACGTGCTGAGCGGAACAGACTAAAGGCTTTACAGTTGAAGAAGTCAAAGCTTGTCAGCAGACCATCTCCTTATCCGAATAGAAGAGGAGATGCTAAAAGGTAATTCATTTCTCACAGTGCCATCGACCATGAGCCACAGGAACCAGATTGTTAACTGAGACAATGTCTTTTTGTATTTTGCTTGGCAATAATATTTTTGCCAGATGCAATTGTTGATTCTGTTGCAATACATTGCTATTAGACACTACTGCTACATACCAGGTTATAATCATGGGTGAGTGACACATGAATAAAAATGGGTATTAAACACATCAGTGCATGGAGTTCTAGTTTATTGCAGAAGTAGAGGCTAAAGGCAATCATCAAATCCATGTCCCACTGTTCCCCAGCACCAGTTGTAGAGCTAGGCTGCTTGCATTCATCTGTATGATTGAGCAATGCAATTACTCTTATTCCTGTAGGTATGCTTACGATGTGCATGTGGAATTAGCTATAATTCCACCACAAATATAGTTCTTGTTGCAGTAATGATAGAAAACCACCAACTGTCATTGATACTGGTGCAGGTTTTCTGCTGCCAGAGGAGGATGAAGATGCCCAGACTGCTATGCCACGTAATAACATCGTCTATCCAACCGGTAAGAAGCCATGGCGAAAAGCGGAGGAATCTCTTCAAAATAGTGCAGGAGATGTCACATTAACTGTAGCTGTTGTCATAGTTTGTGTCCCATTAGTACAGAATAGCATCTACACGCTGTGAAAATTTAGGCCTGGTCTGGTTTGGTGAAGGATCAAATTCACAACTATAGCTGTTCTCACAGGTTGCATCCCATTGATACAGGATATCATATACACACTGTGAAAATTTAGACCTGGTCTGGTTTTGGGAAGGATCAAATATTAGAACTACTCATATTTATATTTGATTGATGCTAGTAAGTAAGACCGACGTTTATCAAAGTGTGCCGAGATGGCTTCACAAAGTTTCCATTAAAATGATGGTTCTGCTTCTTCTTGAATGTCCTGTGACAACGTGCATTCAGCAGTTAAAGTCATCATATTGGCGGGTATTACAGGTCCGTCGGCGGGGGATGCAGTGCTGACTTGCGAAGAATGTGGAAAGGACTTTTACGAATCATTTCTATACGAAAAATTCGGTCTGTCTGTCTGCAATAATTGTAGGTGAGAAACACACGTGTTTCAGCAGTTAGTTGTGTATTACAAGCAGTTAGTATAACAGCTGATAATGATGCTGCTATTTTGGCCTTTTAACGCTTGGCATTCCACTGTATAATATTTTTAATTTGGTTTACTCTGTGGAATTATACAAATTCGAGACATGTAACCAACTGTCATAGTTGAATGTCTTTCATGCAAACAATTTGTGTCTACTTATGGCACAAGTTTTGCTGGCCAGCTTATATTTGTATGTTGCACCTCCAGAGATAATGATGGAAAGCATGCATTGGTAACAAAGACTGTGGCGAAGAGTGAGTTTCTACTGAAAGACTGTGACCTTGAAAAGAGAGAACCACTACTCCGATACATCGTTCGCAAAAATCCTCACAACGATCGGTGGGGAGACATGAAACTCTTTCTCAGATCACAGGTATTTGAGTATCCAATAGAATGCATGTATTCATGTGCTGCCAGTATTGCTGGTTTTGTATTCATTTGTCGGTATCCATTCACTGATTTAGCTGCGTTATTGTTCAAATAGTTATTAATTTACTTGGTTTATTTTATGTGACATTAATTTTTCACACTTCACATAAAAGTGTAGAAAATAAACTATCAAGGGATACATGCATGGTTAAATATGTTAGCTTGCTACATGTAATACTTAAAAGCCCACGTGTGTATGGGAATGGTAGTATATATGTTATAAAGTGCGGCAGTAATGTTGTATAGTGCAACTAAGAAAGTTTTACTTATTTTTCCCAACAGGTGGAAGCACGTGCCATGGAAGTTTGGGAGTCCCAGGAAAAGTTGGAGGAGGCAAGAGAACAGAGGGAGGAGAACAGACAGACAACCAAACAAAAACAATTCAACAAGAAACTGAAAGGTATATTCAGTATTGGTGCTCAAATACGAATTTTCCAAATATAAAGCAGAATATGTATCTATTATAAATTACAGTATTTTGGTCATCAATACTGCATACTGTTATGGTGTATCGAACATCCTTATTAATCGATTATATAATGCAACCATTATGTCATGCTCTCTTGCCTTTCACAGCACTGAGAATGGAGGTACGGAGTAGTCTTTATAAGAAGGACACAGGACCGCATCAGCATGAGTATGGCCCAGAATCTTATGACGAGGCAGACGACATTTTTAGCAAGACGTGCAAGTCCTGCCAGTACACATTGACCTACGAGAAAATGTAGTTGCAAGTGGGTGGCATCCATAGATCGAGATCGTGCCATTATGTTGTTTAGCTGCTATCAAATTGGCTGTGATAGTTGATATAAGCTTTTGCTATAAATGATTTGATCGACGGTAATATTTTTTATTCGTTGATGAATTGCGCGTTTCATAGTATCCACAATGCATAACATGCCATAGCTTTCTAACCATGTTGTATAAGCAGGTCACAGCATATTGTTGTAGGGTTGAGAGGTAACCTGGATAAAGGTATAGCAATATCTGATACCAGATACCAATATTTGCACGAAATGGGGATACATTGTTTCATGGTTGTTCCTCGACTTGATTGAACTGAATTGTATTGCATTCTATTTTTATTAAATTTGTGTGTGTGTGCGTGCGTGCGTGCGTGCGTGCGTGTTTGTGTGCGTTGTATCATAGCTTGTAATATATCTGCATGGTATTCTCATAATACGTATATTGTCGTGACATGTATTACCATGATTATATAATGTATACTGTATATATGTATGTGTGTATAACAGAATGTATATTGAATGTGTATATATATATATATGTGTGTGATTGCGTGCGTGCGTGCGTGCGTGCGTGCGTGCGTGCATGCGTGGGTGTAGGTGTGTATGTGTCAGGGTATGTGTATGTGTATGTGTGTGTGTGTGCGTGTGTGCATGCATGCACGCATCTACGCCTGTGTATTGTATATCTATGTTCATAGTATTTTCTGTATCATATGGGAATGCTACAGGGATGTCTATCTGTTTTCTGGGAAGTGTAATTTATTGTTAGTGATCCCGATATCTGTATCATACTCTTTACATGATCAGGAGTGTATAATATAGATATATATCTCTATATTATACACTCCTAATGTGATGTATGCTGTTATATACATCATTCTATATGATACGATACTATTCTAGGGTTAGAGTTAGTGGTATTCAATTTTAGCATTTGGCTTGCGAGGAAGTCGAGTGTATAATTGAGTGGCGGCCTGATTGGGCGTGGTTCGCGAGACTCGAGTGGGAAAAAAACTTTCGGCGCGCCCGTTCAAGTGGCCTTTCGCAATTGACATGTAGCAACGCATAGACCTGGCGGCTGGCGCTGCAGGGCCTTCACTGCAAACAATCACCATGAACTCGTTCAAGCGCAGTAGAGAGCTGCTTGCTATTTGCTCGATCGGTTTAGAACGGCTCTATTTGTATTCTGGCCCATCAGGTGAAAATATTCACGAGCGCTTCTTGCTCTTTCCAGAGAACAAATACTTCACGACAGCACAACAATTTTAACTAGACAGAGGGCACTCAAAGAGAGTGCATACCTCCGCGAGCGTGTAACTGTAATACATGTGTATAACAGCGTGTCGCCTGCTGGCTGCTGCTGTGACTAAAACGGCCCTAAGGCGACTGCTGCTGACGTCGACGCCCTAAGGCGAGCTGGTGCTGAATCGATTCGCCCAACGCGATGCTAACATGTTACCAGTGTATAACAGCTGGCTCGCTGCTGGCAAGCGACACAACACACGAACACACACACGGAGCGATCACATTACCTACCCTGCAACTCCGTTGCGCGGAGAGTAAAAACACGCATGTAATCTCTGGGCAACTTCGTAGGCCATACACCACACACACAGCACACACACACACACACACACACACACACACACAACACACACACACACACACACCACACACAACACACACACACACACACACACACACACACACACAACACACGCACGCGCGCATACACACACACACACTCCGCACACGCACGCACACACACACACACACACTCACACACACAAAAACACACACTACACACGCCACACGCACACAGACACGCAGCACAACGCCGATCCCAATAAGATGGTTGGTGCACACAGGTTCACACACACCACATGGGCGCAGTAACGGACGCAATCGGACACGTACCGTATTTTCTGCTGTAGTCGATGAGTTGACTCGTTTCGGATTACTCACCAGATATATACTAACACGGGGCAATAACTTACTCTTTGTTCATACATAGTATCAATAAATCTAAAAATATCCATGTATTGTTAGGTGTAGATTTTTAATGACTCTTTTAAAAAGCATCGGGAGGCTAATTCATTTCGCTCTATTGATGGATCAGAATCGTGGTCAGAATACACGGATGTAAACGTATTCACGCACATCTCAAATGCTACCTCGTAAACTCTATATTCTTTCCCCAGTCCGGCCGTTCCGGATTTGCACATTGGGCTCTTGTCAGAGTCACACACTTCCAAAATCCTCCAATAAATGGTAATAGGGCGTTTTTAGAAAGAAGATAGTATGAACATTAGTCCTAACGTTAACCCTTTTTTCATAGAGCGTTGACAGCATTGTTTTGTAAAGTAATGAGGAAATTCGCTAGGATTTTTTTATGCTCGTAAGTAAACGATGTTTCTATCAACGGTCTGAGAGAAAAAAATTCACGATAAGACTAATGTTGAGACTAATTTGTACCTGACAACAAGACCCTGATTACAAAACCATCAGCAAAATTACCATTCGTATCATAGCAACGCAGGGCTATCTAAACACGAGATTTTAATACGAGGTTTTGGCAGGAAAATTAAGCGCTATCAATAAGAAATATATTCGTGTATTCGCAACAGTCGGGATATTAGCAAACACGAAACTCGAAAGCCATTTACCTTTACCTGGGGTGCAATAGTGGGCTAAACATGTGAATAATGCATGCGGGATGTTATTCTCTAAAAAAACATCAGAATAGTTCGTTCATATAGAATGATGTATATAACAGCATACATCACATTAGGAGTGTATAATATAGAGATATATCTCTA